TATCCTCAATGGAGCTGTCAAAGAAAACCATCTCTGAAACTCTTCCACAATGCCACTTAATGCATTTCCCAATTCATTTCTGATTGACCAATAAGAAAATAAAGCATCCTGACTTCAGTAGCAACTATGAGGCCGCCACACTGCCAGAAGTCTCGTTCAGTCATCCGAATGAAGGCATACTTTTCCAACAGGGCTTTCTTCTGAAATTCCTATGTTATCAGCAGAGAGAACGAGGACAGAGAGAACTGAGAATTCCGAGAAAGGAGAGAGAACACCACTATTTCTTCAGCAGAAGAAAGGAAAAGGTGCTGCAAATATAGAATGGAAATGCTCTCAGAGGACTGTAGAAAACATCCATGAAATTAAATACATACACACACACTCACAAAGGCAGGAAAATGGATGTCACCAGAATAAACGACAAATGACACAATGACAGCATTCTGCCTTACATGTGCTGCCAAAAATGCAATTTTTGAAAACCTAAATATAAGGACTACCAAAATGGTCTTCAAAAAACAAGGGGAAAAAACCATCAGGAAAGAAAAAGCTAAAATTAAATGATATATCTCATCTTATTTTTTAGAAACCAAGATGCTAAAGAAAGGTTAAACATGACTTTCCTGTTGGATACTAAGAATTAAAAAATCTCTTTATATGTTAAAAAAAGGTTTACATATAACATACATTGTAAGTTAAAAAAAAAAAAAAAGATAATTCTCCAGCGAATCAATTACTTTGAGTTTGTTCAAGAAAGCCCGTAATAAATGGGCCTGTGGAACATGAGGAAATGGGAACTGTCTGGGCTAATGGCACTGGATTAGCAGCCCCAACACTCACCCTATTATGCCTAGAGAAAGACATTAAATAGGATCAGTCAGATCAAGAATTCACTTTCTCCAGCCCAGGGACACTGGTATTTCTTCTTCTCTTACAGACAAGCAATAAGCTAACCCAGGGCAATCTTGAGACAATCCAAGCAAATTCACCATGTTCCCAAGTCTGTCTGGTCAGCACCATGACAAGCACCAAGTAGTTTCCCATTTCTCACTCTCTGGAAGGCCCAGATATTGCCTTCCAAACATTAAGGGAGGAAGGCTGGCGGTGTGAGGAAGGATTGCCAAAACCTAATCACAAGAAATCTTTTTTTTGTACTCTGACCTCTCACAAGTACTTAGAAGCCTAGTACTTGGGACAAATAAACCCACAATTGATTTTTTTCTGAATATTGAATTGTTAAAGCAATAACCTTCCACCCTATGGAATTATTGTTACAATTTTTCAGCACAGATAAATGCCCATCTTCTGTGGGAATACAGGAAAAGCTAAAATAAGTTTGATTTACTTAGAGTAAATAGATACCCTCAGTTGGATTTCCAAAATACAGAAAGCAGGGGGGCTCCTGAGTGGCTCAGTCAGTTGAGCAACTGACTCTTGGTTTCAACTCAGGTCGTGATCTCATGGGTTGTGGGATGGAACCCACCAGGAGCTCCATGCTCAGCAGGGAGTCTGACTGAAGATTCTCACCTTCTGCCCCTCCCCTGACCTGTGCACACGCATGTGCACTCTCTCTCAAATAAATGGATCTTTAAATTAAAAAAAAAAAAAAGCAGAACTTCTTTCAGTAAGACATATTGAAAGACCTAGTCCATTTGCTATTAGGATTAAAATATAAGGGCAGTTAACCCAGATAAAAAAAATCCAAGCAAATTATCATAAGTAATCAGAAATTGTTAAGTTCCCATTCTGGAGCAGAGAAAGACATTAATATTCACCAAAAAATGGATATCAACCTATACAGAGATCATGTTCAAAAATTCATTTATGTAGTTATATACATGCAACTAACTTGCCATTATCCTACTTTGAATAAAAAAATTAGAACATTTCGCCATGTTTATATGTCAAAGATGATGAATGCAGCCCTAGTAGAGTTACGCCTGAGATAAGTATAATGCATTTTTTATCACCCTGAAAACATTTATTCCCTTAAAAAAAGAAAAGTACAGAGAAGTGAAATATATCAGGCAAGGTGACAGAGAAACCATCATCCCTTCAAAAATCACACCACATTTTTGCTGACAAGGTAAAAGACCTACCAAAATAGGCACAGGGCAGTACGCACTTATCGAGGCAGGCTTTCTTCAGCAATGGAGAATTGGAAAACACACTGAAACTTCTCCGGCTCTACCGATGCACGTCTCTCAGGTGGGCGTTACAGAGCCGGAGCACGTCTGCCTTTAGACCGGCTGGCAAACTTCTCAGAAGCAGATCCTTGTTATGCACTGAATTGCAAGCCCCGAAAAAATATATATATATAACCTGCCACACTTGTAAATGTGACCTTCTTCAAAAATAGGGTACTGGCAGATATAATCAAGTGAAGATGAAGTTATCAGGGTGAGTCCTAATTCAATGGCTAGTGTTCTTGTAAGACCAGGGAAATATGGGCAGAGAGACACACTGAGGGATCACAGCCACGGGAACATGGAGGCGGGGGTTGCAATTATGTTGCCACAAGCGAAGGAACTCGTGAGGTCACCAGAAGCCGGAAGAAGCAAGAATGATCCCTCCTCTTGGGGCACTGGAAGGAGCATGGCCCTGTCTACACTTTGATTTCAGACTTCCAGGCTCTAAAACCACAAGAGAATAAATTTCTGTTGTTTTAAGCCATCCAGTTTGCGGTATTTTGTTATGGTAGCCCTAGAAAACTAAGACACTCAGTGATGATGTTTTAGAGACGTAAAGAAGGAGACAAAGATGACAGGGTGCCAATTCGGTACAAATTTGAGGTTCATTTGAGCCCTTAATTATCCCTTAAAAGATAAACATTCAGAAATTTCCACAAAGGTTCTTGGCTTCTTGGTTGTCTGCTGTCTAATAAGGGCAGGTCTTGCCCATATCCCATTGAGAAAAATACTCCATTCTCTGGAGAAGTGCTTCTGTCCCCTAGGGGGAAAGAAGATACTAAAATAATATATAAGGAGTTTAATAATATAATTAAATAAACACAAGCTGGAGAACTGTATGTCATTTGTCAACTCATCACAGAGATTAAAACTTGAAAGGTAGGTAACTTGACATAGTACAACCCACTGTTCTGGGTAAGAATAAATGATCTGCCTCTAAGTATAAGCCTATATAGAATTAAAACCCTTCCCCCAAAGCTTACATTCCTGGACAAGGTGGAAAAACATGCACTGAAACTGGAGGCCTCCAACACATATAAGAGTTTAGTAGGCTTATCTGTTTAAATAAGCATAGTCCAGAGGAGTAGATGCACCAGCATAAAATTAACTGTGACATTATTAATGTACACTAATTAAACATAAATGATACTTCCCAGGATCTAGAAGAAAAGGTGTGTTCATTCAAAATCTTGTCTTCAGCCCAATAATGTAGCAGAAAGTATATTTTTAAACCAATAATGTCTTTCATAAGCCTTGATGAGGATCATAATTTCGATCAAAAACTGATAAAATATATTCTCAAAAAGAAGCTAGAATCGAATTGTGTAGAAGAAAAGCATTAAAACTCCAGGACATCTTAGGCAAGTCAAGAAAATTCTCACATATTTCAATGCAACTGCCATCATCTACTAAATTTAGAAAATTATTGCAGTTTCACAAGTATGGATTACTCACAAATATTTTTTTTTTCTCTGATTTAATGAGCCCTGCCGGGTAAAGCTGTCATCTCTAACTCAGGTTAATTTGAGGGAACCTGCTTTTTCCAGATGGCGTCAAGGAGAGCAGACAGCTAATATGAGATTAACCTCCAAGTCGTACGATTTTTATCTCAATGTGGAGTGCGAGAGCTGTTAGCCTCAGAGCTTGCTTTGATCCATGTCTTAAACCAGCATCCTACTATGGCGTTCTCCAGAATACTCCTAAAATGTCATGTTTCTCTGCCAGAAAACTGCCAGTGTTACCCGGAGAGCCTGGGATAGAGTCTGTGGCAAACCTGGCTGAACCACCTTCCCTGCTCTACAGGAGACGAAATATCAAATAATACCACATCCTGTGTCTTTACTGCATCAAGCCCATGACTAATTTAGTGCCCAAAAGCTTACCTGCCCTCTAGATTAGTTTTAGAAACTCGGCATTACAAATCTCTGGACATTCTGCACCTCCGGCCAGAAGCCGTTCACCTGCCAAAATGCTGATTAATTAAATGACCTTTCATCACATTTCCAGTCTTCTCGTTTGTGGATGTGCGGCTGGGCTCCAGGCATCTTTTTCATGCTCACAGCCAATGTCTTGGAAAGTATAATTTGGCATGCATTTCTCAGTTGTAGCAGGTGAAGAGACTGCTCCTCTCAAAACAGTCCAACATTCTAACCTGGAAATGTTCATAAAGAAAAAAAACCCAAAAAACAAAAAAAACCCAGCACTAACAACCAGAGCAGTGCTGTGAAAACACAATCCACATTAAAACTTCCACCTAAGAAAATCCAGGGGGAATCAGGCATCAGAATTTTTTGAAAGCTCCCCAAAGTGATCCTAATGTTCACCTGTAGATAAGAACTACTGATCTAGACCAGAGGTCAACAGGCCATATCGTAAATGTTTTAGGCTTTCAGTAAAGGGCCATATCGTAAATGTTTTAGGCTTTGTGTGCAGTCTCTGTCACAACTACTCAACTCTGCTGATCTGGCACAAAAGTAGCCACAGACAAGATGTAAATGAGCACGTGCAGCTGGGTCCCAAGACAGCTTTACTTAGGAACACTGAAATTTGAATTTTATTTAACTTTTACATGTCACAAAATATTATGCTTCTTCTAATTTTTTTTTTCAATCATTTGAAAATGTAAAGATCATTTCTTAACTTGCAGGTCATACAAAATAGATGGCAGACCAGATTTGGCCAGGCCATAGTTTACTGACCCCTGATCTACACTGCAGATGGAATACATTTCTCCTTAGTCTTTTCTCAAAAACATTTGCTCAGTGACTCTGTCAATCAGTCCTAGAAAAGACCCCTTCAAAGCATGGGTACCTTCAGATTCAAGTTGGTCCAGGCCATATGAGGCAGCTGTATTAACATGGCTAATGGATGGGACAACGGTTCTTCTCTCCGAGGACGCCTCAGAATCAGGAAGCTCTGGGAAAAGGCTGGCTGCTTCCTCCATTATTCCAGGGGGAGTCACTGGAGAGCCCCAAACTGGTGTGAACAATTCCTCGTTTGGCCCCGTGACAGTGTCTATTAGGTCTGTCAAACACAAGAAATAGCACTTGACCCAAAGATGATCATTAGGGGAAATGTATACATATCTTTCTGCTTTTTAAGCAAGAAATGATCAATGAAACCAGTATCTTATATACACTAAGTTTGGCACTTTAGACCAGCTCCCCCCTCCCCACAGTGCATCAATCCAGTTATGCAAGGCACTTTATCATCTGGGAAGATGTATTGTCTCAAATCAGAACTTTCTTTTTAAATTTTGATTTCCCATTTATTCTACTGACAATATTACGGATTTTGCACAATTTTATATGATTTACTGCCAAAGACAGAAAATGTAACAAAAAAGTATTAAAATATATGCCAAAGACTACTTCTAAAAATCAAGTCAAAGGGCAAGGGTATCTGTGTCTAGAATATGCTCAATTTCAACGCAGCCAGATTTAGCCCCAGGTTTTCCCAAATATAAAAAACTCTAGAATAGTATTATTTTTCACGTCTGGTAGATCATCAGAATCTCTGAGGTAATTTTTTAGAAGTCCATCTCCTTCCACCTATCCCAACTTACTGAATCAGAATCTCCTTTGTGGTGAAGCTGGAAAAACTATTTTTTAAAGCTCCTAGGATATGGATCCACAGACTCTCACATACATTGCTGCTAGGAATATACATTGGTGCAACCACTTTGGAAAATAGTGAGGCATTGCCCCTTACAGTCAAACATTCATACCTAGAACCCAGCTCTAGGTGTATTAACCAAGAGAAACTCCTGCACGTGTCCAATGGAAAATATACAAGAGTATGCATGGCAGCAAGCAATGTTCACAATAGCCAAACCTGGAAATGACCCAAATGCAAACTGCTAGGAGAGACTGGATGAAGATGAGATGCATAAACTGTGATCTATTTTCAGACTGGAATATTATAAACAGTCAAAACAAAAGATTCACAGTAAGCGAATCTTAGCCATAGACTATTAAGTAAAACAAACAAGTCCCAAAAAGACTATCTGCAGCACAATACTGTTTTTATAAAGTTAAAAACTACTAAAATATATTTTAAATGCATAATTTTAGGCATAAATACAGACACTATAAAACTAAGATAGCAGGAAACGAAGGAAATGAGGAACACAAGAATCAAGATGACAGTTAACATCAGAAGAGGACGAGGGTGAAGTGGGGAGGGTGATGGGGTTCCATGTAGGTTACTGACCAGGCCCTTTTGGAGGGGCAGGATTAGGAGATACTTATTACTTTGTTAAAAATAACTCAGTTAATAAGTAAAAGTCTTTACTTAGACCAATAATGCTATAGAGACATGAGGTCCAAAAACAATAATTAAATAATAATAATTTTTGTAATTTCCAGGTGATTCTGATGATCACCAAGATTTTTAAAAACTTTGCTCTCCTTAAGGTATCAGAGCATTTGAGGGCCTCCTATATAGAAAGCACTTGGTAGCCATTCTTTCGAATCCTTAAAATAACCTGTAAGACAGGTAGGCATTATTTAGAGATGCACAAACCAAGCGTGGACACGTGAGGAGACTTGCTTGAGGCCACAATACTAGTGAGGGCCAAAGCTGGGATCTGAACCGAGGTCCTCACTGTTTTCACTTCACCCCCTGGCTCCTAGCAGCCAGAGCTGTCAAACAAGGAGAGAGTTCTCAGGAGGTCTGGCCTTCCCAGGCCCCAGCGATGAGCCACCAGGTTTTACTTGGGAACTAACCCCTCATCCTGTTAGGCTTTGTCACATCCCTCCAAACAACAGAGTTCACCCACCTTTCTGGTTCACTCTCCAGGTGAGATGTGTGTGTATACCCTGGGGACAGAGCCAGGTTCCACACTCATTCTATTGCTTATAACTCAGAAAAGATCCACCCCCAAAATTCTGAGTCCAAGTTCCCTCCCTTCGCCCCCCACCCCCCTGCTTTACAAACCTTCCAGAGCAGAAGTAACTTCAAAAGAGAGAGGCACGGCTGTAGTTGAAACTGTAGTGGGCAGAGGCTCCCACCTCCTGGACAGCTGAGTAACAGCAGGAACACCAGATGTGGTGGAGGGGGGCTCTTTTCCTTCCTCAGTCTTACAATTTTCTCCAGTAACCTCGAGGCTAGAAACCTGCTGCTCTTGTGTCACCAATGATAAAGTGGCTTCTGCTTCTTGAACAGCTGTTGTCATCTCTTGAGTGATGATGTCTTAAAAGGGGGGATACAACATTTTAAAATAGACAAATTCCCTATGCCTTAAAATGTCACTCTATAATTAATAAATTGGAAAAAAAAAGAAGACAGCTATTTCAGAGTATGGGAAAGCGAACGCATCGCTCAGACACAAAATGCCAGCAAATAAATGTTTTCAGTGTTGCTGCTTTCAGGAGCGATGAATCAATCTAAGACCAAGATAAAGAAGTTAATATGTAAAACATAAAATCTAAAACAAAATAGAAAGATCAACAGTTGAGCTCCCTCTTATAAATATTAACATAACCAGTTTGTTAAGAAACAAATTATACAGTTCTAAGTTACATTCAAAAATTCTCAGCATTTATATATATTAATTTTCACATTTGCATTTCTAAAGGGGAAAGGAAAGCCAGCATTTTGAATAAAGGAGTAATTATTACAGTAACTAATGTTTCTGAACTTCTATTATATGCTATACACACATATAATTCTATTATATGCTATATACACCCACTACTAAGTATATGGTGGACATTATTTTATCTTCCAATGTGTACTAAGGGGAGGTAGGTATTAATATCATTCCACGGAAGCCATATATCAGTGTCAAGAATGCAGACTTTAGGGGCCCTTGGGTGGTTCAGTCGGTTGAGCTTCAGACCCTTGGTTTCAGCTCAGGTCATGATCTCAGGGTCCTGAGATAGAGCCCCTCCCTGCTCCCCGGGCTCTGTGATCAGCAGTCAGCTCAGAATCTGCTTGAGATTCTCTCCCTCTCCCTCTGCCCCTCCACCCCAGCGCGAGCTCTCGCGTGTGCACTCTCTCTCTCTCAAATAAATAAATAAATAAATAAATAAATAAATAAATAAATAAATAAATAAATAAAATAGACAACACATGTAAAACACTTAGCACATACCCCGGTATTATATAAGTATTCAACAAATATCAACTTTGAGTGGTGACTGCTATCAGAGAAAAAAAGACTAAGAACTAGAAACAGTGCTGGAAATTTTAAAATTATCATTCAAAATTTCTTCCCATTTCTCATTCTCCCTACTTCCTGTAAAGAAAAAATAATAATATGATAATTATTATAGATAACTTTTAAAACCTGACCTTCAACTGAACCTGTGAAAGAATAAGCTGAATCTGAGAACTGATGATAATCTCAGGTTACTCATCTGTTCATAATAACCAAAAACACAAAGAAATCATTGCATATCCTAAAGAAGATAATGTCCTAAGTAGTTCCTAGGCCCTTAAATGATTGGCATTTGAGTGTTTACTTCTTTTTTTTTTTTAATTTTTTAAAGATTTTATTTATTTGACACAGAGAGACACAGCGAGAGAGGGAACACAAGCAGGGGGAGTGGGAGAGGGAGAAGCAGGCTTCCCGTCGAGCAGGGAGCCCAATGTGGGACTCGATCCCAGGACCCTGGGACCACGACCTGAGCCGAAGGCAGACACTTAATGACTGAGCCACCCAGGAGCCCCAGTTGTTTATTTCTGAAAAAGACTTACAATCGCCAGAAAACAGGTAAAAAGCTTTTTGGTTATTCTCTAGCTACTGTTGTCAATAATCTCAGTTTTTCATATTCTTTTTAGCTTGAACAACAAAAAAATTAAAGTGAAAGGAATTATTTAACTGTTCCTCTCTCTACAAAGAACATTTAGAAACTTTTTGATTAATTTGAACATTGCAGGCAGTCAAATTGGATAATTTCAGTCTGAATGGTTCTCTATCTTCATTTACGCATCCACTGACTTGGTATTTATGGAGCACCTACTATGTGCCAGATATTGTGCTATGTGCTGGGAATAAAAAGAAGTTGCCTATTAAGAGACTGTAGTGGAGGGGCACCTGGCTGGCTCAGTCAGAAGAGCATGTGACTCTTGATCTTATGGTTCGTGAGTTCAAGCCCCACATTGGGTGTAGAGATTACTAAAAAAATAAACTTAAAAAAAGAGAGACTATAGTTAAGTGAAGCAATTATGACTAAGTAAGGAGTATATTCAATAATCAAAATAATAATCAGACAATCACCAAATTCATTTTACCTTTCAGGCTGTATTAATATAAGCTAATGCAATTCTAATACATAAGAATCACAGATTCAATTACACGATGAATAATCTGGAACTATATGACTTAATGCTCCAGGAATATCTTAAAATGCTATGGAAAATCAAAGTAAACTTCTTGTACAGTCATACCCAATATCTTCATGGTCATGGAGACCCAACTCTCTTAATGAAATTTTAAAAACCAACATACAAAACAATTTCTTGAAGCTTCTTCTTTTTTTTTTAAGACTTTATTTACTTATTTGTCAGAGAGACAGAAAGAGAGCACAAGCAGGACGAACAGCAGGCAGAGGGAGAAGCAGGCTCCCTGCCGAGCAAGGAGCCCGATGCAGGACTCGATCCCAGACCTGAGCTGAAGGCAGACGCTTAATCGACTGAGCCCCCCAGGCATCCCAATTTCTCAAACTTCTATGAAAATTTATAGCATGCTAGGTCTTTCAGTCTTTGAAAAATGAATAGGAGGGGCGTCTGGGTGGCTCAGTCGTTGGGCGTCTGCCTTCGGCTCAGGTCATGATCCCAGGGTCCTGGGATCGAGCCCCACATCGGGCTCCCTGCTCTGCGGGAAGCCTGCTTCTCCCTCTCCCACTCCCCCTGCTTGTGTTCCCTCTCTCACTGTGTCTCTCTCTGTCAAATAAATAAATAAAATCTTTAAAAAATAAAAAAAATTTAAAAAATGAATAGGACATGTAAATTCAATCTTATCATTTTAATTCAATCTCAACACTTTATAAAACACATTACTAATTTGATATTTCCATTAATTAGGCTACTTAGCTGAAGTAACAAGATGTACATATTCCAAAACAATTTGGAGTAAGCATATGCACATTACACTAAGTCTATCCTTCCCTCACGCTGTTATCTGACCAACTACACATACCAAAAGAAAAACATTATCCATCAGCAACAAATACTAGGCTCGTCAGCTCATAAAATTCACAGATATAAAGACCAAGAGGAAGTAGTGTTAAATCAAGCCAGCAGAGAGGATTTATCAGTACTGGGGTTTTTTCTAATTTCTAGATGAATACCTTTTTGGGAAAACAAAGTCAAAGAACTCATATGGCTAATGCTATAAGATAAATATTTACGTAAAGCTTTTTGGTAAGAAATATCAGGGATGTAAGTATTTTTTACAACAATGTGTAAATAAGTATCCTATACTGTTTATTATACCACTTAAATATATAGCTAATTCTTTAACATTTTCCTGAATAGTTATACATTTTCATAATAACATGCTTGAAAGCTATCAGTCTGTATCAGGTTTTCTCAGCACTATTGACATTTGGCTCAGAAAAATCTTTGTGGATGGGGATTTTAGGATATTTAGCAGCCTCTTTGGCCCCTACCCACTAGATGCCAGGGGCACCCCTCTGTTATAACAACCAAAAATGTCTCCAATACTGCCAAATGATGGGGGTGGGGACAAACTGTTCCCAGTTGAATACCATGGCCTGTATGCAGAGGTTATATTTGGGTGTAATTTTTATACAAAATATATTTTTCTTTGTTTACTTTTGCTTTTCATTAAAACTTAGATAACTTATTTCTAAATTATCACTTAAAAAAAAAAACATAAAACAAGACCTAAAACTAATACCATGCTCTATGTCAATTACATCTCAATTTAAAAAAATAATAATAAAATCAGATTGAAACATTCCAAATTAAACAAAGCTTGTTTTTCTTTCTTTTACCTTTCAATGTATTTCCCAATGGTTGATGAGCCTCAGATTCATATTCTGAGATGGAAACAGTGGTCTCTAAGAAAACCATTGCATCATTTTCCCTAGTGGATTCCATGAAGTCTGGGGTATCTTGGAAGAGGCTTACAACAGAGACTTTCCTATCTTCCATAGGACTTGTGGGAGTAAAGGAACTTTGATCGGCGAAGGCAGATGAAGGCGCCTCCCCATGTGCCATTAGCAGGGCTGTCTGCATGGGTGTTTCCCCTTCCAGGAGCCCCAGAACCACCTCTGCAGCCTCAGTCATAGGTTTGCCCTCTTCCATACCTTCCATAGGGTCATTACCGGTTTCTTGGGCTGTCTGAGACATTTCCGTTCCCACCTGAGTCTCTCTGTTGTCTCCAAGCTTTGGGGTCTTTATCTGGCTTACACTCTCTAACTTGGTGCCATCCCACTCATCACTGCCGACAGAGGCAGCTGGAACAGCTGTGCTGACACTCACTGGGACTCCTGGGGCTCCCAGCAGCCTGTCAGTTTCTGGCTCAACACTCAGGGTGTACTCAGAGGTTGTGAGCCAGTGCTTGATGTCAGCAGTCTGGGTATGATCAGCTGTCATCTGCGAAGGCTTCTCCCTCTCGGGCATGGGGCTTCCAGGCTCCGTGCCCACTACGGGCTCAGCACCGGGGAAAAAAGCTGCCCTGTGTTCTGTGTCTGCTTCAAATTTCTCAGTCCTGGGATTGGTGGTTAGCATTCCTTTAGTATTCATATCAGATGAAGGTAAATGTCCCAGACTAATTCTTTCCTGACTTTCAGTTGCAAACAACTGATCATCCACATAGCTCAGAAAACCCTGTGTTGCCTCTGTGGTCCCTTCTACGATGGGCTGAATGATGGTACTACCCAAGCGTTCCTCCTTCTCATCGACACTCAGAGATGCAGTTGCAGGGATAGGATTGGTTAGCATGGCCTTGGAAAGTCGGCTTTCAGGAGACACCCTCTCTGGCTGGCTGGAAACAAACATTTCCTCCTCGGCAGGGACCACTGTCTCAGTAGCTGTGTAAATGCTGGGGCTGTTAGGCTGCATGAGTCCAGCTCCTACTGGATGGGCTTCTTTGCTAGTAGGAAATACTTTATTTAATGACGTTGCTGATGGTCCTGCTAACACCATCACTGGATCTTCAGAGACCACCAACTGGGGAGTGCACTTTGAAGTCATAGAGTTATTTTCTAGGTCATCTGTGTTCATCCTCTCAGGCTGCCCTGTTTCTGCATGAACATGTGCTATCTCCCTTCTTTCCATTTTGGGGAAGGCCACACATTGTGTGGCAAAGTTGACAAGTACAAGGCTACAGAATGCCAGACAAATGTGCAGTGCAATTGGTCTGCTCATAGTGGAAGAGAAATGTGCACATAAATCAGCAAAGTTGACAATTCCAGTAATTGAGTCCTGCAGAAAAATAAAGCATATCAAGCTGTCATATAACTGTATATTTTGTAAATAAGCCCCTTTAAATTAAACCCTAAGTAAAATAGTCTTGACTTCACACTCAGAGACGGTATGGAAGAGACGGCTGTTCTATTTCTTTGGCACCTTTGGGACATGGATAACCCAGTTCATTTTTCCCTGCTGAATTTTGCAGCTGATTTAACTTGAAGCTCTCTAGAAGAGGTACACATAGTTCAAGGACTAAGTTCATTGTTTCTTAAATACCTATTTGAAAAAATTACCCTTGAAGTCACATTTGCAATATTCTCCCCCAATTCTGCTATTAATCATGTAGTCAAATGACTACAGAAAGAGCTACGTATCCAAGACATAGAAAGTAAATCTCACATTTACTTATACTACATTCAGAGAAAGTTTCAAGTATGGTTTAAAACTTATTAAATATCATCATAAAATACTGAATACCAGTTATATTCAAGAGGTTTCTTTAGGTATATAAATGATTTTCAATTAAAATTTATCTTTAGGGGCACCTGGCTGGCTCAGTCAGTAGAGCATGTGACTCTTGATCTTGGGGTTGTGAGTTTGAGCCCCATGTTGGATGTGGAGCCTATGTTGCTTCATTGGAACGTATAGAATGCTATATAAAATGTTGCCATTCTATTAGACTGCTCATTATGTACTCCTCTCTGATTTGACTTCTCCTTAAGTGATAGGATTTGTTGTTCCGAAGTTGATAAACTTGAAGCTACCAGAATCTGAGTTTTACTTGAAATTCACCCAGATGGAGTGAAAAATAGGGTTTTGTGCAATGGCTAAAAAGGTAAAATGCTGCTAAATTTCAAGAATAAATACTTTCAACCCAAGTAGCCCTCTGACTATATATTACGCAATAGTAAACCTTAGGATTTTCAAAACTGGAGTCTAAACTTTCAGGGAGGTGGGCTCCCAGGATGGTACCATTTATCTTTCCTAGCTAACCCTAGATATGACAACTCTTTAATGTACTTTAAAAAGCAAATACATATTACTAAGGAAAGAAAAAGTTATTTATAATTGCCTTGTCAGAATTGTTAAGGTGTTCTAGAGCCATTTGCATACAATTTAATGTAATTTCATTCCATTCTATTGTTTACACTACGATTACTCAAAGATGACTGCAAAGGTAAAAGGAAAATAAAAGTGTATTGCACAAAAAAAAAAAAAAAAAAAAGCTCTCAGCTTTACGGGGACACGGCCCTCGGCTACCGCACACTCCCGTGTAGCCACGCAGCCAAACCGGCCCTCTGGCTTGCCGGCCCTGCCTGTCGTTATGCCCTTTTTTTATGGGCATATTTAAAAATTATGCCCTATTTAAAAAAATAAAGTATTTTTAAAAAATTTTTTTAAAACACTTAAATTATTTTTTTTCTCTGCGACAACTATAAAAATTATAGGCAAACCTTTGATGTTTCAAAATTTAAGGAGTAGAAAAGGTAAAAGAGGGCAAGTAAATGTGTTTTTAGGGGGAAAAAAAACTATTTAAGAGAACCAAAACACATTTTAAATTAGCAATCTTTACTGAATACATACTATTATAAAATTGAGATTTATTGCATTTAAAAAAAAAAAACTCTTGTTAAAACTAAAACTATATCAAAACTACTAATTTTCCCCCCAAACTTAGGAGTTTTAGTTCTTGTTTTATCTACTTTGCTGTTTGGGCGCTTTCTTCTCCCATCATCAGAAATTTCTCAGATGCTATAGATGTTCTAGAAAGTTAAACCTAGGAGTGAAAATTCTAAAATAAAAACTTAAGCTTTATAAAAGTTATTATTTTTTCCTTCTTTCATGTCTGATCATTAAGCTACTTGGGTTAAGCATGTAATGTGCACACATAAAATATAAAAGTTTATGTTTTCATAGGGCCTTCTCCCCTTAAGAAGTTCAAAGCTTCCCTGTTTCATTTCTAGGTCTTTTCGTGACCAAGAAAAGGTCAAGTCCTTAGAGCATGATCTAGGCAGCTGAAGAGAAAAAGAAGGCTGAATTTTTCTACACAAGGAAAGAGGAATCCCCTGGTTTTGGAGCTGAGGCCTCCTGCCAAACTACCAGCACCACATGAATGAGTCATCTTGGAAGGCATCCTCCAGCCCCAGTCAAACCTTCAGATGACTGTAGCTTCCTTCAGCTGACATCATGACTGCAACTTCTTGAGAGACCTTGAGCCAGAACCACCTAGTAAGCTGGCTGCTCCCAAATTCCTAATGCACAGAAATGGTATGAAATAATAAGCATTTATTGCCACCAAGTTAGGGATGATTTGTTACACAGAAATTTTGAATCCACAGTACTTTGGGAGAATATAGGAATAAGACAATGTGCAGAAAAGGAACAGCACATATCAGGGATCATAAATTTAGCAGCAGAAGAAAACTGAAGCCAGAGGTGACTAGAAAAAAGCCACCACACCCCACTAAGATTCCTCAGAGATAGTGAGAGGGATGATAAGTTTTCCCACATGTGGGAGGAGAGTCTGTAACAATTTTATTTAAATATTAAATTACATACCAGCAGCTAGCATTGTTTTAAAAGGAGAGAATATGGGAAAGATATTTGAAGAAGAGGGAATAGCATGTGCCAAGGTATGTCCACATTCTGAACATTAGTTATCACCATACTTTAAATGATCCATAAAGAATCCCACTTCATAGCCAGGTAACAGGTTTGGTAAGAGTATTTGGCTTGCTGCTTCTAATTGCACTCCTCAGAACAAAAACACGGAAGGGCTGTAAACGTTCACGGCTGATGAAACCACATCGTTGTACGGACAAGTTGAACTATGACAGTGTATATAGTCAAACATATGTAAAAGCTATAGAACCCTTTGATCTATTCTTTCCTGAATAAATATTTTTCCCATTCAGTGAAATCTTACTAAACATCCCAGACAATGTAGGGTGTGGCCTAAAACCTTGGTCTACATGATCCCATGCTTCTGGATAAAAACCTGAAAAAAACAGGCCATCGTGAATAACAATAGAATTTAGAGGGACATGGACTGGAATCAGAAAAACAATTCCTGAATCCTAGCTTTATTGTTGTTAAAACTTGCTATGGGAGGGGTGCCTGGGTGGCTCAGTTGGTTAAGCGACTGCCTTCGGCTCAGGTCATGATCCTGGAGTCCCGGGATCGAGTCCCACATCGGGCTCCCTGCTCAGCGAGGAGTCTGCTTCTCCCTCTGACCCTCCTTTCTCTCATGCTCTCTGTCTCTCATTCTCTCTCTCTCAAATAAATAAAATCTTAAAAAAAAAAAAAAAAAAAAAAAAACTTGCTATGGGATACTGTGCAACTGGCCTCAGTCTTTCCTTCGACAAAATGAGGAGTTAAACAAAAAAGCATTGTAAATCCTTTCTACCTCCATGATTCCATTTTCATATTTTATCTACAGGTCATAAAATTAAAATACAAACGTTTTCGTATTCCAACAATGGCGCCATCAAGTAGGCAAAGCACTCAAATGAATGGATGTTTCACATCTTCTTTACATGTTCTGGAGTCATGTGGACTGAGAGGAGAATCTTATAAACAAATCAGAGTGGGGGAAGCAAACCATACAGATTTAATATAACCTCAACTGCTTTTCCCAAACAGAATTTTCCTTCCAGGTTTTATTTTCAGCTAGATCTTGAGTTTTAGAATTTTTGTGTGAAGGGAATTCTGCCATTGCTCTAAAAGACTTTCCTTCTGTAATTAAGTGTCAGCCACCTGCTTCCTAAATCCAACTACAGAAAAAATGGGGGTGAACTGCGAGCCTATTCTATGTCTGTGTATTGCGGCCATATGTTCCTTCTCCCCACTATTGCAAGCTATGCCTGCACTTTAAAAGAAGCAGAAAAGACAGCCTATAAGAGACAGCAAGTAGCATGTCTGCAACTCAGATAAACTGGCAAATGACCTTCAAGTTCTAGTTCTTTCTCCATCTTTCAAAGCACAGCACAAGTTCACACAGCCACTCCCATGAGTTTGGTGGTCCCCAGTGAGAGCTACATGACATTAGAGAATAAATAAGAAAAGGCTGACCGTCGTCAATTTAACAGCCATATGTCTAAAACTAAAGAATCATCTGCAAGCATATTCTGAAGGCTATACGCCTTTTTCTTTTTTTCCCCTCAACATTGTATCCCCTCCCTGGCAAAGAGCCTGGCACAAAGGAAATGCCCAGTAAATATTGGCTGAACAAACAGAGGAGTGTCTATAGCCTGCTTTGTAGGGGAAGGGGAGGTGGGGAAATTTCATTGCTAATTAGTACTGTGTGTCTTAATTATCTTAAATTAACTCAATCATAAGAATATTGAACAAACGAAAGAATGTTTCTCTAACTTTTCTTTCACACCATGGCAGTGCTGCTTTCTTTCCACTATTATCCATCAGTGCAAATTAATTCAGGTAAATAAACTCTAACCAAATTGCTACACTAACTTAAAAAGCATCCCTTTTAGAGCAAGTCAGCAGCACTTCGTCTATCACTTGCTATCAAGGTATCCCAGGCTCCGAGGGCCTCTGAACAATGTACTGCATTTCTGCCACCAGTGGGCAGATAAGCTGTCCAGTCACCCATTATCTTTGACAATCTTAAATAGATACAGTCCAGAATCTGTTTCCTTGTCAAGTCTAGGCATATTCAAGTTACAAAGACAAATGAAAGACAACATAAAACATAAAAAAATACAGACTTAGTCATCTTGTTAGATTTAATAATCAGGGTTTTTTAAACACTTGGTCAACATTTTTTCCAACTAAAATGTACACTATTGCTCAATGTGTTACCAAAATGTAGACACAAGGGGAACCAGCTGGGAAAACATTCTCATCAGTGACAAAGCTACTTTTTTCAAAGGAAATTAATTCCATTTATAATATAGAAGGAACATGAGCATTGCCCTAAAGACACAGGAGGCCTATAGAGTATGCCAAAAAGCTAGGGACAAACTGCCTGATATTTTCCTCTTCTTAGGATAAAC